GGGACCTCGTCACCCTGTGACGGCCGATGGCCTCGCTCAAAATCATCCAGCAAGTTCTTGGGTGACTGTCCTTCCAAATGACTCATTTGATATTCCAATTCGTCACGCGTATATAGACATAGCCCCTGGGCAAGTTCTGACACACTTTCTTATTTTATCGGGTCCATGACAGGAGCATGCTAATTGCCAACCATCCCCAATGGGATCCGGTGATTGACCCTGATCCCTCTTTTGGGCTCCCGGATAGACATAGGGGTTTTTGTTCTCTATAGAGGCGGTGTGATGGGATTACCATTGTAATAGGATAAGGGGGCCCAGGGGATTTCGGGGTAGGGGAGAGAATTGACATTTAGACATAGCGGTGTCGCGGTGGCGAACCGTTAACTACCTTGCCTGGTTTCGATTTAAAGCTTTCGTGACTGCAGGGATTCATCTTCATGGTTTTTTTCGGTAAAGTCACGTAGAATGGAAATAATAAAATAATAAAAATAAAACAAAATACAATAATTCTCACGACGTTTCGGCCACAACGCAAGTAGCCGTCCTCAGGTGGAGAACAGGTCATTTCGGCCACAACCCAAGTAACCGTCCTCAGGTGGCCGAAACGTCGTGAGAATTATTTAATGTTTTATTTGTATTATTTTATTATTTCCATTCTACGTGACTTTACCGAAAAAAAAATTAAGATACCTTGCCTGATATACAGGAGGTCGTGGGTTCGATCCCGACCCTGACGCCTGCTGTATGTTTGGAGTTTGTGTGTTCTCCCCATGGTCGCGTGATTTTTCTCCGGTTCCTTCGGTTTTTCCCTCCACATTTAGAATCAACAGGCGTTTATGGTATTTGACTGCCACAAATTTCCACGTGATAAGCGACTTCGTTGAGCTATCATTTGTGTCCAGGTCGCTTCTGAAAAAAAGAGCTACACAGCTCAGTGGGCCTTACCTGGTAAAATAAAACTAACACGGAATAGGCTGACGCGACCGATATCATCCATAAGAGGTTTTTTTTGGGTTAGATCGCGTAAATATTGCTGACTGTGTCGTTAAAACCCGCCATCACCCGACACAGCCAACTAGTAAGGGTTGTCACGTAAACAGAACGTGGCCAATTCGTCACGAGTACAGCACACCGGTGTGTTGGAGAGCCAAGCCACAACATTTACAATCTGAGTACGTGGTCACCACATCTACGCCTCTATATAAGGAACGAAACAGTAAGACTTCACAAATCTGGCTGTCGCCTGATGAGGCTCGTTGTAATTACTGGCGAAACGTCGTATATTTATAAATAACGCGATCTAACCCAAAAACTTTCTTATGAATAATATTGATCGCGAAAACCTACGTGTTAAACTCGTTTATATATTTACGCGATCTAACCCCAAAAAAAACTCTATTATGGAAAATAAAACTAGTTTAGTTTTCAGGAGCCCCACACACGTGCTTGGGGAATTGTTGTGTCGCTCCTCGAGGACGAGTGCTCGGGTTCATTATTACAAACGTGTTTCTTGGGTCCAAAAGTCAACACAGGAAGGATATTACCGCCTATAAAAGTATGGGTCATACTCTGATTGCGGTATGCATTGATGCCCTGTCTCCTTCATTGGATTATGCAACGTTGCATTCTTGCGATAGTTTGGGAAAATAGTTGCCGATTGTGTTTCGCGTTGTTTCCTCTGCGAATATCAGCTCTCGTTTCTGTGATTAAGCATGCACATGCATGTCCTGTACATTCATTAACCTTTGTAGTGTTGTACGCTTGAGGTATTCCCAAACATTGACAATACCGTTCTCCACTGTTTGCCCTCTGGCTTCACGAGTTACTGATTGCACGATGTTCTTGTTTACAGTGACCCTCACGTGTCAATGTTCTGGCTGTCCCCTCCCCCCGCCTGCCTAATTGCATCGAAGCCTTAAATAAATATATAATTAGTTGGAGCCTATTGCGAAGGCTGCGAGTTTCTAAGCAAAATTCTCAAACTGCGCCGGCCGCAATGCTGGCCTCAAGGACCCGACCCACGCCATGTTATTGTGTTTGACGAGCTCACAGAACGTAAAGAATGAACACTGTGCAGGCTATTACAGCGGTCACATCAATGCAACACATGGTCCAGGTGCGAATCATTAACTGTGCACGCCGTCGTCATTGCATCCTTAGATTATATTAAACTGGCTTCCTCTCCTTCATTTGATGCGGTTCACGATTTGGTCTTCCTTTACATGTTCGCAAATGGGGCTGCTGTCAAACTCGTTGGTCTCGCCGACGTATAACGCTTTCAGCCGTGTATAATTCGCACCCTTGCAGCAATCATCGTTGGCGCAAAAAAATGTGTTTTTTCTTCTTTCTTCCCCCCTCCCTCTTCCCTATAAAAAAATACTTTTAATCGGAGCGGCACGCCGTGATGTTCCCAGTGGAAGGCGAACTAATGCCTCGGGATAGAGAGAGAGAGAGAACGAGCGCGCAGCTCCGAGCCTCGACGTCGCACAACAGAGGGCGGCTCGTCAGTTCGACGGTCGAATACGCTGCGGCTCCGCCAGCCTCTGCGTCGGGCAACGAGAGGCGTTTTAAGCCGCACTTTGAACGAAGGCTCCTGCCGCTGTGGCGTCGTGTTACGAGTGCCCGTGGTTGGCACGCACGCACGCTTGTGCTCGCGGGGGGACAGGTAGACCCACCGTCACGGTTAACATTATCTACAGTGGTCCTGGTCCTCCCATAGATCAACTTAGCCTTCAATGTGTACCTGGTGCAGTAAGTGAATATCAGCACTGGGTGGGACAAAAGCGGCATGGGCATGGTGTCGGCCACATCCACCCCCAAGCATGCCGTGTCGGCCTTAATAGGTGCTTGTTAACAGCACTTGCCCCAACAGCCCGTGTAGGCTACACAATGGATCTTTGTCTCTGTATGAGCATGCGTGTGCAGCAGTTAGTTAACTGCGCTATGAACCTGATGACATGAGTTGATTCCTGGAGCTCCCCTTGGACGACTCGGACTTAAATGAGTACCTGGCATCTTGGACTAGATTTTAGTAATTGTATTTGTCCCCAAATATGTGGCTGAGATGAGACTGAATGTCAAACGTGCGACTGCGCTTCACTCAAGTGACATGCATAAAGCCCAAGTAGAAGTTTTCACGACTGCAGTCTATCAAGATTTGAAGCTTTCGTGACTGCAAGGATTCATACTCTTAGTTCTTTCGTTAAAGTCATGTAGATTAAAAGATGAAATTAATAAAAATAAAACCATAAAAATCACGACGTTTCGGAGGCAACACAAATCTCCGTCATCAGGTGGGATCGTCACAGCCTGTTGACGGAGACTTGTGTTGCCTCTGAAACGTCGTGATTTGTATTGTTTTATTTTTATTAATTTCATTTTTTACCTACGTGACTTTACCGAAAGAACTAAGAGTATGAGTCTATCAAGAGTGCGGTTAGAATTGTAATCAGTATGCACTCGCTATCGCTCACCATTTCAGTGAAGCCACAGAAATCAAACCATCTCCCTTTTCAAACGAGCAATGGAACGGGATTCATCTCCATTCGTGACCCTGAGTCAGCCATGGAAAATATATATTGTAGTGGCATTGATTGATCATTTTCTTCATATGGGAACTGGTTGATTTGTCACAAAGCGGTGCTCACGTTATCAGCTCGGGAGGAATTGTGGACTGAGCCAACCCCGCACGGGCATTTGAACTCACAACTTTCTGATGTCAGTTGAATGCTTTGATCATAACATCAGCCGTCCAGATTGCCATTAAGGTTGTCACACTGTAGCGACGCTGCAATATATTGTACGCTTTATAAGATGCACAATAATTGTATCGATACTTTCACAAAATATCGTTAGAGTATGATTATTGCCGATCGTTTTATTTTTATCATGCTAGTTTATTTAATATTTTATTTCCTGACAACGTATATATATTTTTTTATAAACTTGTGAATGCAGTTATTATCCCATTACATCATTCTTTTGCGAAAATGTTTCCAGAGTAATTGTTGGCTTAGTGATTATAATACATAATAAATTATTGCATTTCCCTTAATTACTTATTTCACAATGAGCAGCACGTGCGATATAATAATTTTGATACATTTTAAAGTTACAATGGTGATATAAGACTTGTGGCCAACTTTGTTGAGTGAACTGCAGCACAAAAAATAATGCAAATTTTAAAAGTGATTACGATACGAGGTTTGAAGCAAACCGTCGAATCTAATTGATCACTTTTGGTTCGGAGAATTGTCCATCAGCTCACCGAAACAATAGCAATTGACACGTTAATTGTTTGCACACATGACAATTTAATTTGCTCGGCCGTGTAACTGGCGGCGCGTGACACAAATTTGGCGCGACCCCAAAATTCGATTGCGAATCACAACCAACAAAGTTAAGGGAACAAACTAATAACGTCGTACCTTTGACATTTTGTCTCGAATTGTACAGTGAGAATTGACGTCTCACTTGCGACACGTACATTTTGTGTATTATTACTGTAATACATATACAGTAAAACCTTGGATTGCGAGTAACTTGGTCTGCGAGTGTTTTGCAAGACGAGCACATTTTTTTTTTAAAATATGAATTTGATAAACGAGCGAGCGAGGTCTTGCAATACGAGTAGTACGTGCATACGCTTTGTCTGCCGAGCGTCACGTGATCACAGCTGATATACGAGTGCTTTGGATTACAAACACGTTTCCGGAACGAATTATGCTCGCAATCCAAGGTTTTACTGTATATCGTATCAATGTTTGTATACATATGTATCACTGTGTATGTATCACAGTGATGCATATGTATCATACACACGTATGCATTATACATACGCATGTATTATACATGTACCACTCTGTCCGTATCATCGTGATACATACACTGTGATGCATATGTATCTCATCAGATTATGCATACGTACCGCAGTGATACATACCCGTCACTGTGACACATACGCTATAATATTGGGAGGCGTTCACGCGCGGTGTTCCCACCTCGATGTAAGGCACCCCGGAGTGGATGGGCTGCGGGTAGTCACGCAGCAGCCGCTCCTCGTCCAGGAACTTGCCCTCGCGCCCGTTGTACGCCGGCTGGAAGAGCCCGTAGTTGAGAACATCCTTCAGGCTCTGGTTGAGGGTGCACAGGATGCGCTGCTTGGCCACCCACACGGTCGCGTTGGGGTTGAAACGCAGGCATTTCTGTAGGGCATTTGCGGGGGGGTGAGTGGGGGGGGGGGGTCGGCAGTTGGGGGGGGGGGTCGGGGGGACATGGGGGCGATAACGTCAATTTCAATCAACATCCTTTGATTAACCACGTTAGAGCCTATTAAAATTCCCCTTACATCTTTTGCGAGGGATGCTGGGTAGCGGACGAATATTTATTTGGGGAGGTCAGAGGGGCAGATGGTCACGTTTGCGAACGCTTCGTTTTCATCGGATTTCCTTTTTTTCTCCTTGAAGCCGCGTCAATGTCTCCACGACTGAAAGTGGGCGCACCGACGGAACGACGACAACGGCGAGCGCGACGCGTTTCCACCGGCTTGTCGAGGTGGTAACGTCGCACAGAGCGGTCTCCCCGCTCAAGTGAGTGCTTGGTCGCGCTCGTCACCAATGATGCCAATAGCCACGGTGGGGAACATGTCATATTCGTCCGGCTGAGGGTGTTCCCCTCAACGGTTAAAACCAACAACCTTCTCATCGAGTCCCGTGTGATTTCGATAGAGTTTATTTTGTTCAACCGCGTGGGAGCTCAAGAGACACGGACGGGTCGCGTTTAACCTGGGAACGGATGACATTGGAACGCAAGCAATGGTCACAGTTGTATAAGTACCGTACATTGTCAATAACATTGCAAGTAAAAATCTGAGATTGCATTGGCAGCAATTTAATATTAGAGGGTGTAGAAAATCACATAATCTGAGCCATCATTGCTCAGATTTTTCCACAGGACAATGAATCTTGAATTCTTACAGCGGCAATCATTTGAATTGATCGCGACGGGATGATGCATTGAGCTGAACCCTGGTCTTGGTTTTGAACTCAGAATCTTCTGATTGTAGGACGGATGCTATGCCATAGCAACATTGGCTAATTAACTTTTCTCAACAGTAATTTTGCTGTGACGGTTCCACCTGAAGACGGAGGCTTGTGTTGCCTCCGAAACGTCGTTATTTAATTTATTTGTTCTCTTTTTAACCTACGTGACTTTACCGAAAAAAACAAAGAGTATGTATCCTTGCAGTCACGAAAGCTTCAAATCTAGAATACCCTGTCTTAGTCACAGTGCAAACACTTTACATTATTGTACATTGCGTGTGTTTGTTCCTCATGACAACTGCCACATATCATCGGACAATATTGTACAACATGTATCAGTAGTAAAAAAAAATTGGGCCATGTTGGGGAAAAAAATATATAAATGCACGGTATGTTAGAAAGTGAAGTGATATGTAGGGTAATGATAGTTTTGTAACATTTAAAAACAAAGTGTAATTTTAAAGGTCCCCATTATAAAATGAGTTAATATTTTAGAAGGAAATCATTGACATAAAATAGCTACCCTGCACAGTGGTTATATGCCTGGAACAGTGAAATATCTGCATCAACTCTGTCGACATGAAATCTAGTTCAAGGTAAAAAAATAGATACCGTAAACTTTTTTTTTGACGGACCGTTCTGAGGGACCGTGGAGGGAAAAGGAGGCTAATGCTTATGTCAGGATAATGAGGCAGGACTTATGAGGTCCTGGGTTCAAGCCCCAGGCAAGCAAAGCCAGAAAATATATATTTTCAAGGGTCTGGATATTCCGTGCAGAATTTGTGGCTCGAAGCTTAGTTGCTGCAAAGGTGGTTTGCAAAAAGTTTGCAATTGCATAGAATGACACACAGCGCTATATTTACACACATATTTAATGTACCCTGTTCCATTTAACTGGCCAAAAAACATGTTTCTGGGAAAATAATGCCTTTGTGTTGAACAATTGCCACTCAATGTTATCAGGTTAAAGCACTATAACCTTGGCACTGAACTGTATTTATGTATTTTTTGTGGGGCATTTAATTAACACAATACACTGGTTACGAGTAAAATTGATCAAATATCTTCATCATCCAAACAAGGATGGCAGTGGATAAATTTGCGTGAAAGCTCAAGCATGTGCAGTGGAGTGTGGCTACATGCACGTTTGCAATTACATTTAGTAGGAGAAAACAGGAACAACATGGACGACAGAACATATGCAGGTTAAGTGTATGTATGGACTTCTTTGGCACTGTACATAGCCAACCGTGTTCATCTCAACGCTCGTAATACACGATTGTGACCGTTGAGAAAAGTAAATTGGCTTGGGCAGGACACGTCGCGAGAAGAAACGATTGCGGGCGGTCGAGACTAACGACGGAGTGGCAGCCAAAGTAGGGAACTCGCCCGAGACGACGTCAAATGTGGAGCAGGGGGCGATGAAACCAGCTCATGAGCAGGTTCAATCGTTGCATCGTAGGACTATGAGAAAGGTGACGGCTTGAGGATGATAGATGATGCCACGGTGGTGAGATGTTAACTACCTCTCCTGGTATCCAGGAGGTCGTGGGTTCAAACACGACCCTGACACCTATTGATTTGGAGTTTGATTGTCTTCCTCTCTCCCCGTGGTCACGTGGATTTTTCTCCAGGTCTTCTGCCCCCCCCCCCCCCCCCATATTTATAAAGGTGGCTGCTATAAATGTCCACATGATGAGCTACTTCGTTGAGTTATAATTTGTGATAGCCAGGTCACTTCTGACAAAGAGCCATATAGCTCAGTGGGCCTGACCTGGTAAAAAGAAGAAACATATTTAGATGATGACTGTTGATGATATATTTGATTGTAAAGTAAAAGCGGCATTCTGCGTATGCAGATAGGCATTGGATGGCTTGCTGCGAAGGAAGTTTTCATGGATTTGAAGTTTACATAAATTTGATGGTTTGTACTCCACCATCATCGAGTTTATTATTTTGAGGACACTGAGAGTGCTGTCTGTTACAAAGTGGATATAGAAGATCCTGACGTCAATGGAAAGACTATGTCAGCTTACGCTCTTCTGGGAATTCCAATAAATTTGTTTTGATCCCTGTTCAGATAAGCACAGGACTGGTGTTCATCAGCATATGTAAACCAGTGGTGGTGCCAATTCCATATTTATATGGCAGTTGCCATAAAAAACGTGGAATAACCACTGTTTATGGCATGCAAAGTGGCATTCGTTTTATCTATCCCAGAGGGATGATAGGCTGACTTCAATCTCCGAATGATGATTTGTACTTGCGACCTCAGACCACAAAGTTCCAATCGACTGGATATGCAAAGTCACATGTTTATAGCCTCTAAGGCAGTGGTGAGAGCAAAGCCAATGTAACCTCACCAATGGATTTCCTCCATGAATCATGATTCATATTCGCCTTGGCGTGTGTTACAGTATTATATGTTTCGTTTGTGGGTGTGCATGTCTGCAATTCTTTTGGGATTCGCAAGATTAAGTGAATGCTTAAGCAAATAAATAGATAAGCTACATCTGCTGCTTCAAGGAAGAATATCCTGCTTCTCAGCAGGAGGATTTAGGTGAAAATGGAACACGCTACAGATGGGAAACTCGACATGCAATCCCGTAAATATGTTGCGCTTATGAAATCCAAACAATAATTTGCACTTTTGCATTTGACAATAAAGTTACAATTGTTGTGGCTAGAACTGCATGACACATTCAATTAAAGCATCATAAACCCGGTGTGAACCGTGGAGTTCTAAATGAAAGTCATTTCCCATTTTGGACAGCGGGTCACAGGCTTCATGATCTGCTCACACATTCAGAATATCTGGAATCATTCCAGATAGTAGGTTTCACGGAATAAGTAACTGGCTTGAATTTAGCCTACACGCACACGCAATTGAATACTCACATTAACGCCACATGCAGCGTAAATTACGCTATGGCAGTGTTTTTTAAGTTTTAGTTGGGTAATGTATTCAGCAATGTTCTTTTGTAAAAATAATAATAATAGTTTAACGTGTAGAGAACCCATTGCCCTGCAATGGAAAATACGCGATGGCTTTCATTTGCATGCTCTTCTTATAATGCTGTACTCAGAGCACTCAAAGTAATCAGATTTTTTACACAATAAAATGAAAAGATAATACATATTATAAGGTGTTTTTATTTAATTTAGGATGGAAATAATACTCTGGCGAAAGAATGGTATTAATAGAAGGATAAATGAAAAATATTCTTAGGTTTTTTCGGTAAAGTCACATAGACCTACGTGACTTTACCGAAAAAACCTAAGAATATGAATCCTTGCAGTCACGAAAGCTTCAAATCTAGAATAAATGAAAAAGTTAGAACAATTTTAAATGATAACTTTGGAGCTTTCGTGACTGCAGGAATTATTCTTTGGTTCTTTCGGTAAAGTCACGTATAAAGACTTTACCGAAAGAACCAAAGAATAATTTTAAATGAACCGTGGTCAATCTTATGTATTCTTTATTCCTATCTCTTCGGTGTCGCCACCCATTAAACATCTTCCAGAAAAAGCACCTTTAGCCGGTTATCCAGCTACTTTCGGTGGCAACGATCTGCAGCAGCCACTAGCAACAAAGTCGTTATTGTCGGGGAGGAGCGGAGCCCAGCCAGCAGCCAGCGAGGAAACTCGAGGCATTGATTATTTTGACGATTAAAATGAAGTGGTTAGCAAAGTGGACAATTTACAACTGCAGTGTATTCTTGAAATTGAGTGATGTGACTGGCACTAGATTTAGATTTTTGTAGTGAATTGCAGTAGTGTAGATATGCAATGTGCACTGTACTAATATCTGTCCACGAACCAAATCTTTCCCTCACAGTATTTGGACCTGTCCTCAGCCTTGAATGCACACGACATGGTGTGCATTCATCAGCACTGATGATACAATTCCTGGCCATGCACGTCACCCACATCACATGGTATGTGGACCTGGTGTGTGCCTCCTCAAGGTTCGCTAAGCATAATATAAATGCTCTTGTACGGTATTTTCAATATCAGCGGTGGAAACATCACATCAGTTGGCAATGGCCCATACGGGTTTCACCGATAGGACTTGCTCGGACAGTCAACAAGGTTCACCAGATTATCTTCGTCTTCATCACATTGAATCCCATAAAAAAGTGTCCATTACAAAATGCTAAGAC